TCCGTCCCGCGCGTTGGCCAGTACTGGTCGCACTTTATCCGGGTTCGTTCCTCCAGCTTCGTCATCATCACCAAAGTGTACGACCGCAGCTCCCAGCACATCCGCCAGAAGTCCGCGAAGGTTTCCTGGAGAGGGCCTTGCGTCGCGACGTACGCGTTGTGCTTCCGATACCCGTCGCAGTAGTTGGCGTTGATGTAGTCCGTCCCCAAGATCCCGCCCTCGCTAGGCAGGATCACCCTACTGTGGTCGTAGGCGATGACGTTAGCGTACCGGTTCTTCGGCTTGTTGACATCCATGTTCGAATGATCCCACGTGAACTGCTGACCAGGCTCGATACTCTCGTACTCCTGAGAGAACTTCAAGTTGTCGTTCGCCTTCAACCGCTCTATGTGGTTGGCCAGCTCGGATATGGGAATGGGAGGGTGCGATATCATGGCGGGAGTTTGGAAATTCAACCTCCGCATTTCCACGGGATCGCTGGGAGCGATACTAGCGTTGAGATCCGGCTGAATCAGGGGCCTGGTGACTGCGGTTTGGTCCGGGGTTTTGCAGGGCTGCCTGCGCTTCCTCAAAATGAACAGTATCACGAGAATCACGGAGAGGAGGAGCGCCGCGATGATGGGGCCGATTATCCACAACACTCCGGCTTCCTTCTTCTGAGAGCTAACCTTCACGTCGTTGTCGGATGTCGTGTTAGGGTTGGGTCTGAGTGGCGGATCTCCCGGAGGAACCTCCCGCATGTCCAGAGACAAGAACTCCGAGAAGGGACTGCTCGTGTAGAGATGCTTTTGGGGCGTGTCTACGACGGCCCTGACGAAAATCCTGTAACGCTTCCCGTGCTCCAACTTGTAGTTGACGTACCCGTCGTTGCTCTCCCCGGTCCCCAGGTGATAAGTGTAGGGAATGTTCCTCTGGGGAAACTTGGCCGCGATGTAGGGCAAACCGGGGTTCTCGGGTATCTTATCCACGTTCGAAATCAACTCGTCCGTCAAGAGCTGATCCGGATTACGCTGCGTCAACATCTTGTTCTCGGGGACGACCACCAGGTAGTAGTGGCTGATGGGCCCGTATTCCTCCGAAGCTTGCGGCAGAATCACGTGGATCTCCTCGCCGTTCACTACCCCGTAGAAGTCCGGTTTGACCATCGGTTGGGGAGCCGCCATCTGAGTAGTCACGGTGATCTTGGTGGGAGGCCTGTAGGAACTGTCTGTCGGGATGGCGCTGACGTTCACGTTGTACGTAGTGAAAGGCGACAGCTCGTTGATTGTGTGGGATCTCGCGGCGGAGTCCAGCCTGATCTCCACTTTGGGGATGATTTGGGTTTGGGTGATTCCCTGCGAATCGACGAACTCCTTCACCGCGTCGAAGGATATTTTGTATTTGATTGGATTCAGCCTTATGGGCGGGGACCACGACAAGGTCATCGAGTGGGTGGTAACCTCGTGCGCTCTTAAGTTCAGAGGAACGTCCTCCGGCTTGACTTTGACGGTTTCTTTCTCGGACAGTCTTCCGAGGCCATTCTTCATCCTAGCTGCCACGGCTATGGCGTATTGAGCATACTTTTCTAAGTTAACCAGATCCGCAGATTCGGTCAGTCCTACGGTTTTCTGCTGCCACTCGTCCAAGTCTTCAACAGCTGTCATCGTGTAGAAAATCTTATAACCTATAACCTTCCCTCTGGACGGTACCGGCTCCCACCACACTTCCACACTGGAATCCGAGGTCGCGACCGCTTTAACCGACATGGGGGCTCTTCCTATATCCCTTTCAGTCTGTATAGTGAACTTCTCGCTGGTTGGCCCTTCTCCTTGACTCGTGAAGGCTCTCACGTGGAAGACGTACTCGGTATTCTCTTCCAAGTTAACGAACACCGCTTTCGTATGTGACACATTACGGACAGTGTTGCTGTGGTCGGACTTTTTGTGGAACTGGATTTCGTATTTGATTATTTGGCCGTTTCGGTGTTCGCGAAGGGGCGGGCTCCAAGAAACGCACACGACGTCGGGTGTTTGAAAATGGTATGTTATGTTGGTCGGGGGGCCAGTAGGCTTACCTTCCGGTGTTGTCATGTATTTTATGGCTTCCTGACCGACTCCGATGTGATTCTGACCGGCGACCCTGAACTCGTAGTCGACTCCTCTTTCCAAATCGTTTATTCTATAACTTGTTACTTGCGTCCCTAAGATAAAATTGGGTTAGTAATATTATAGTACATCCAAAACAAGTATTAGTATCACCGGTTGGTTGAGAAACAGAATCAATCTTTTCTTTAAAAAAAAACAATTGTTTTCTTGCCAACGTTTTAAATTTATTAGAAAAATACAGGGGTGAAACTCAAATATCATAAAATTCCATTTGTAGAAAGTTCATCTGATAAACCTAGAATGATACACAGCACCGAAGAAATTGAAGTGGCCATTTCAAATGAAAATACAGTTGAAAAGCATTTTTTCCCGAAACAAAAACACCACAAGAAATACAATCCAGTATAGTGTACAAATTGAACTGTGGAATCTGTCACAAATGATATGTTGGTCAAACCGGACGGTATTATAAAATACGAGTTTCAGAACATATGCGAGACTAACAAACTGNCGAACTGTTTTATTTTTGGGCAAAAACCCAACAATTTTTGTTTAGAATCAAACAGGCTATCAGAAATACATTTTTAAATGGTAAACAAATAATAAGACAAAGAGTTACATTGGAAATAAATTTTAGGGCTTGCGTTTTCCACCCCTTACAACCATGGGGTAAATCAAATAAACTACTGGCTAAGTGTCTTTTTGGTAGTACAAAACGTCAGGTTAATTTCAATATTGTAACTTTTTTAAGGGGCTGTATCTTAACAAGGAATGCTCCAATGAAGTTTCTTTATATGAAACATCCTATCTTTTTGCGATGAGGAATTACCTCCTTGAATGTTTTACACTTATTCAGTTACACCCTGAAGTGTACAAATTGAACTGTGGAATCTGTCACAAATGCTATGTTGGTCAAACCGGACGGTATTATAAAATACGAGTTTCAGAACACATGCGAGACTAACAAACTGAATATAAAAAACCCCACAGCTCTCGTTGAACATGAAAAAGAATATGGACACATTGTTGATTTTGATCATCCAACTATTCTAGATGTTCAACCATATTTATCCAAAAGACTTTTGAGCAAAATGATACATATCTTCAAATGCGATAGTGTTAACACTAGAAGAGATGTCGATGGCCTTAATACTGCATATTTCAATTTGATAAGTAGAATATCTGAATAATTTACCCTTTTTTCGTTCTTTTTCTTTCTGCCATCGATTAAAAAACCGACACCACCTTATCAGAATCATCACCCCAAAATTAGTAGAAATTGACTAATTTAGTGTAGGAAACATTCAAAAAATATTTTTTTGTTGTGTTGTGATTTGAAGAAATAACTATTTGTTGAGTTTTGTGCCTATTTAATGTGTTACATTCTTAAAAAAGGACAGAACATTTTAAACATTTTGAATCGGAAATGGAGTTTATAGAGCCATGTCTCGCAATAGCTCACGTTGAAATAAAAAGAATGCACTTCAATGGCGGTCCAATCAGTATATGTTAAAAAAAAAGGTACTCACCCTGCCCATCTCCTTGAGCTTGGTCAACATAACGACGATCGTCGAATTGTGCTCCCACAGCATCCTCCACAAGTCATCCGTAGTGTCCGACATGGGGCCTTGAGTGGCGATATAAGCCTTACGGTACCGATAGCCGTCGATAAAGCTGGCGTTGATATAATCCGACCCTTCGATGTTCCTCAAAGGAGTCAAACAGACTCTAGTGCTCTCAAAAGGCAAGATATGTACCAATCTATTTTTATGCTTATTACAAGGCAAATTTGCCGTAGCAAAACGTGAAGAATCAGTCTTAATGTTACTCAGTTTCTTGAATTCGTGCTCCATGCCCGATACGTTCTCGCCGGGCTCGAGCTGCATCAACTTCTGGATATGTGAGTGTAAGTTTCTAGCCGGTACTTCGGTCTGTCCGCAAATGAACGCCTCTAGCAGAGCGTCGTGGATGAATATGTACTGATCCTCGGTCTGAACCATGTAGTTTCTCTGCGCACGTAAGCAGGTTACGTGGCCATATATGTCGACAGTCTTTTCGTGGCGAATCCTTTCCAGCATGGAGTCAATCACAATGAAGCAACCTAGAATCAG